AGGACACTTAAGAGAGGAGATATATCCTTAATTATACATCTGTAAAAAATGAGCAAGAAAACACAAACCTGCAAATTTTCAGGAAAAATATCTGCCAATGGTCTCATTTCAATTATCTTTCTTGAATTTCCCATACAGCTCATTATGAACGTATGTTAATAATCTCTCCATCACAGAGGTAATTGATTTTTCAAATATTTCTATCAATGCATACAAAACTTAGAGTCTCACTTGTAATGTTAGGCAAGCCTACTACAGTACAAAGAGGAAGGGAAGGTGTACTAAACATTTTTTTAAACACCCTAACTTAAAGTGGGGTAGACAATATCTAACACACTTAGCAATAACTTTTGGATCCCTCTCAATAACTGTAAATGAGGTACAAATACAATCAGATCTCTGCCCCAACATGATCTGCCCCAACACATTGCATAATGTTTTTTAAAGTCATTCTAACATATAGGAACATCCAGAAAGCCAACCTGCATAATCAGGAAAGAGCAAACTTTCAACTTGTATTTTAAAAGACCTCCAGGATTGTCAGTCATTAATGATCTTCTTCCTCTAAGTGTATGTTAGTGACTCTTGCCTCAGAAAACCCCAACTAGTTCACTAATTGGTGGAGGACCATGCATTCACTTTACCATGCATTTCAGCGGTAAAAAGCACCGGGAGCACCACTTTGCCAAATCTTCTTCAAAATGTCAGTATGCTTTAGGTAATACCAAAGCTAAGAGATTCCTCTTGGTTTCCAAAAGTGTCTAGGTGGCCTGGGTGGGTTTCTGCCTGCAGCAGCCTCCTACCTTTAGTTCCTGAGCCTATATCACGAGGGGGATTAATTAGCCTGGCTGGAGTCGAAGGAGGCTGTCGTGACGAGCCCAGTGGCGATTGGCCGCCAGCCTGCCTGGCCCTGCCTTTATAATTTCCACACCAGTGCGTCTGGGCTCTGAGACAAACCGACAGCAGCTTCTTCTGACATATACACACGCACACTCACCCCTGACACACTCAGCACACTTTTCCTCCACCTGATTAACAGTCTTGCACACACAATGACTCTGGAAAAGGGTAAATAAAGAGGGAAAGGGCTTATTTTGATTTCCGAAGACCTTTGCTGGGTATCAGTGCAACTTTGTTTTTATAACTGAGAAGGAGATCTCTCCATGCGTTTCTCTCCCGCCAGGATTCTTTAAAAGAGGAAGAGCGGCCGAGAAAGGGGGCGGGGGGCAGTGTTTCACTTTAAGAGTCGCTGGGCGCCCAGACACCAGGAGGGATCGCGGCAGCTAGAGCCCCCGCGGCGGCGCGTCCGGACCGGGTCGGAGACGCTCGGAAAGCGCCGCAGTTTCTGCACGAAGTTGGCTCCAGCTGTAGCAGCCGCGTTGGATCCCACAGCCTACTGCGAGACTCCGGTGTACAATCCGGATCTCTGCCCCAACATGATCGCGGCCCAGGCCAAGCTGGTGTACCACCTGAACAAATACTACAACGAAAAATGCCAAGCCAGGAAAGCTGCCATTGCTAAAACTATCCGGGAAGTCTGCAAAGTCGTGTCCGACGTGCTCAAAGAAGTGGAAGTGCAGGAGCCCCGCTTCATCAGCTCCCTCAACGAAATGGACAACCGCTACGAGGGCCTGGAGGTCATCTCCCCCACCGAATTTGAGGTGGTGCTTTACCTAAACCAAATGGGGGTTTTTAACTTCGTGGATGACGGCTCGCTGCCCGGCTGCGCGGTGCTGAAGCTGAGCGACGGGCGCAAAAGGAGCATGTCCCTCTGGGTGGAGTTCATTACCGCCTCCGGCTACCTCTCGGCGCGCAAAATCCGGTCCCGGTTTCAGACCTTGGTGGCTCAAGCCGTGGACAAATGTAGCTACAGGGATGTGGTGAAGATGGTGGCAGACACCAGCGAAGTGAAACTGCGAATCCGAGATCGGTATGTGGTCCAGATCACCCCCGCCTTTAAATGCACCGGGATCTGGCCGAGGAGCGCTGCCCACTGGCCGCTTCCCCACATCCCCTGGCCGGGACCCAACCGCGTGGCCGAGGTCAAAGCGGAAGGGTTCAATCTCTTGTCCAAGGAGTGCCACTCCCTGGCCGGCAAGCAGAGCTCGGCGGAGAGCGACGCCTGGGTGCTGCAGTTCGCGGAGGCGGAGAACAGGCTGCAGATGGGGGGCTGCAGGAAGAAATGCCTGTCCATCCTCAAAACCTTGCGGGACCGCCACCTGGAACTGCCTGGCCAGCCCCTGAACAATTACCACATGAAGACTCTGGTTTCTTATGAGTGTGAAAAGCATCCCCGCGAGTCCGACTGGGACGAGTCTTGCCTGGGCGATCGGCTCAATGGCATTTTGCTGCAACTTATCTCCTGTCTGCAGTGCCGTCGGTGTCCTCACTACTTCCTACCTAACCTAGACCTGTTTCAAGGCAAACCTCACTCTGCGCTAGAGAACGCTGCTAAACAAACGTGGCGACTGGCGAGAGAGATCCTGACCAACCCAAAAAGTTTGGAAAAACTTTAGAGAACAGCTGAAACGTGATTACTCTTCTCAAAATCCTAATTAAGTGTACACTTCCTGATCGATCCCCAATATACCATTTGAAGTGCAAACAATCTCTTCCTTAAAAAGGAATAATGCAATGCTTAGACATCATCTCACCCACCCCTCCAAGGGAAGAAAAACAGTGGGGAAAGCAGATAAAGGAAAACCCCAACCCACAAGTATTAGAGATTTCTTTCAAAGGATTTCATAATTCTCTTGGAAAGTGCACAATGACACCCTGAAAACAACCCAGCTGTAATGCAAGCCCACAGGGAGCATTCTGCCTAACTGTCAAAGGATTATAGAAATCCTGGGGACTTAGGTGCATCTGTCTGTGAGTAAACATGATTTGGATATGCCATCTGAAGGAAAGTGTAATGTATATTTTTATTTGCAACAAATATTGTGATCTCACATTGTCTTTGAAGTGTGGATGCTTGTGTTTTGTGATTTGGTGAACAGAAGTTAAATTGCCATTTTGGATACTTCCAGACATTTTCCTCTAACAAAGATAACATTTAAAGGTAGATTTCCTCCCCATACTTTTATCTGTCTTTGAAAGTTTACATTTTGTTTCAAATATATTGCTTGTTCTATTTCTAACATTCCATAAATATACTTGAAATGTTATTTAAATATAGTCAAAGAAATTTGAATTCAGCGTATATAATAACGCTTGAATATCTGAATTATATATTTGAAAAATGCACTTGAAATACACTGGATAATTACTTTTGAGATTTAGATTTTAATTTCTGTTGCAGGTTTTTATTTAATTAGAAGCTAATAAAGAGATAAAATAAAAATTGTGTGTCACTTTAAATTATTTTTTGAAAAGATGTAATATTTCATTTTGAAAATTGAACCTACTTGAATATTTTAAATATTACAATGTTTTTTTTGTAGAGCTGCAAAAGATAACAGTATACTCTCACTTTCTAACTTACTTATAAAACTATTTCTTCCCATGACAGATACAATTTAAATCTACCCATGAAAGCTTGCTCTTTTAGGTTAGTATTTCTGTATCATTTTTGATGATATAAGGGAAAAAATGTTATGACAGTGAAGGCTCCTGAAGTTAAAAATCAGACTAATAGAAATGAACTAATCAAAATCATAAAAATTTTGAAGTTTGTAAATGAAAACTATGCTAACTAATAAAATGAAGATAATTTCTGACCAGTTAATGTCAGACCTTATTTTATGCAGTGTTCAAATAGCTGAGTAAATTAATCAGAAATCTAAAATTCCTTTTTACTTTATAGGGCTAGCTGATTTAAAAAAAAAAGCATAAAGACAAACTTTAAATTATTTAAAGTCAAATACATTATATTTACACTTATTTGTAAAATTCAGTTATTTTGGATCTAAAAGTGAAAGAAGTCCTGTAACAATCTTTCAGAGAGTATTTCAATAGTCAACAAGTGCTGAGAAGAGCGAATCATCTATGGCCTTAAGGTTATTAGTTAATTCAGGTGGGGGTAAATTATAGAATTTCAATTGCTATCCTACAAATAGCATTTTATAATGCTTTTTAAAATATAAAATTTAAATAAAAGGTATAAAGTTCTGGATCTATGGGAGCATTTGTCTTTGACTATTTTAGAATAATTGTCTCTGAAAACTAGTTTAATTCTTACATATCTAGCATAACACTTTTGTCCTTGAATTCTTAACCTCAGGGGGGAAAAAAGTTTACAAATTGTATACATCATGCAAGTTAAAATAACAATAAAATTGATTGCAGAAGAACGTGCAGAGGTGTAGAGCTGCCCTAATATTCAGGTTTTTAAATCTACACAAGACATATAAAACAAACAAAATATGCATGTTAAATCCTCCAAACGTGTATTTTCTGCCATCCTACCAAGAGAAGAATACAAACTTTAAACATCCCAGCACTAGTATATACACATTTTAAGTAAAAACTGTCCAGATAATCAGTTTCTCTTCCTTTTAGATTCACGTGTAAACCCATTCTTATTTCAGGAAATAAAACATGGATGTAATAATGGAGATTATCTAAATGTATCCCTCTCCCTGCAGTTTCCTTATAACCTTTCAATCAATAATAATTCACACTGCAACCTACATTTTTGGAAATTAAAAGTGATTTCAATAAGAAATTTCATAAAACCCTTCCCCGTCTTTTCAGAGAGCCTGAGATTCTGTATCACAGGGACTAGGGAGCAATTGGCTTAACTACCAAATCTGCCCAAATGCACACAAAGGCATTCATAGACAGACTGTTAAAATGTGCCTCCTCTGGTAAGAATTTAAAATCAGTAATATAGTCTTCAATCCCATAAAATAAAGCATGTGCTACCTCACTCATTTTATTTTCTATGAGAAAGATGGGAATCTGCTCCCCTCCCCCACTGTCATTTAAAACCCAGCAAAACTGAAAAACACTTCCTCCCACAAAGCCACCAGTCCTGTAGCCTAATCGCTTTAACTCACTTTAGAGTCGATCTTTTTGAAAGCTGCATCATCCTCATCTACCTCGAAGTAGATTTCTGTCGTGGTGATCGAGAGAGTCCCTTTGGCCACCACCACTGGAGCGATGAGCTGGGCAGGCGTGCTGAGGACCACTGGGCCTGAAAGACAAGGGCACCCAGTCAGGCTAAGTCCTGTGATTCTCTCTGGCTCCTTCCCAGAGGGGTACCACAGGCTTTTATTTTTAAAGATGCATCAAAAAGATGGGGCCTATAATATGTCCCTTCCATGCGGTAAGGTCAGCTTAGCTTTCACAATTACCTTAAAACGACACTAGAAATAAATACTTTTTTATAAAAACCCAATAGGCCAGACAACCGAATAAGAGACCCTTAGTAAATGAGTTTGCAACCTCCTCCTAGTAATCCTACATGGTTGGTGAGACGCTGAGATTAACTAAAAAGTGCAGAACGGACTCTCGGAGGCCCGATTCTGCAGGGAGCACCCGGGGCAGCCAGCGCTGCTGCAAGGAGACAGTCCTTGCGTGAAGCCCGTAAACCGGCGGCAGAGCCCCCCGGGCTGGGCGGGCGGGTGTGAAGCAGGCGGGATGGTGATGTGAAAGTCCGGGCACTGCGGGTTTGCAGCGGGCAGGGGGGTTGACATCGGTGTTCCCTGCCCCGAGGCGTGCCACATACACACACACACACACACACACACACACACACGCGGACATTAAATACATTTCTTATGTATAGCAGTGATTTTTCTAACAGAGACCCAGTCAAAAGGTGATGAAATTAAGAAATTTGAACAAAACGATTCTCAGGAAAACGTCCGAAAAGTTCTAATTCTCTACTTTTTAAACTAGAGGAATTAAGCAAGCTGCAGTAAAAGATGTTTAGACAATGTGTCTACTAAGGTGCTTACTTCAAACCCCTTCCATCTGAGTTAGAATCGAAAATTAGAATTTCGCATATTAGACTAGTATTAGGGGGGTTGCTTAGCAGTTTGTTTAAGATTCCCCGGAGGGGAGGCATTCTTAGCTCGACTGCAGACAAGGAAATCAGAAATGACGCCCGTTCTTCTGTAGCAAGGACGCATCACGTTCCCTTCCATTCTCCCCTCCCTTGCATTTCTAGTCAAAGGAGTCACAATAACAGCAACGTAGCGATAAAAAGGAGGGTCCCCCGTGGACACTGAGGCTCTTACGGCCACGGCCACGGCCACGCGCGGGCCGGGAGGCGGCCGGGCGGGACCGGCGCGCAGGCATCCGCCGCCGCACAAAGCCGGCCTTTCCGCCGCCGGAGGCCCGGGAGGACTAGGCCGGCTGCCGCCGCGCTCAAAGGGGTGGCTGTGAAGCAAACTGTGGCAATGTCAGCCTACACCCTGGACCGTGACTGCCCGCCTGGTCGCTAACACTAAACCCTTTCGTTTATTTTATCGCTTTCTCTCCCCGCCCGGGGCCGCAGGGGGGCCCGCTGGGGTCTCGGCCGGCAGCTTCCGCTTCTGAGCCAGCGGAGTCAGGGGTCCACCTTGGCTCCATGAGGTTTTTCTTTCCAAAGGGCAAAGCGGTCGATCTGAAGCGCCACTTTAAAGACTCATCAATCTTAATCTAGGTTGCTCAAGTAATTATGCCTGAATCTCTTGTATGATTACAAGTGGGTTTGGGTTTCTATTCCCCAGGCCCTCCTTTGTGTTCATTGGAGGGTCGGTAGGGCGCTCAGAGGCGCCCCTGCCTCCCAAGCCTCGCTCAAAATCCCCAAAGCCAGGGGCATCCAGCCGGCTCCCTTAACCCTTAAACCACCAGGACCGCTTCGGATGCCACTCTTCGATTTCCCTTCTGGAGAAACCCAGGTTTACTTTTGTTTAGGACAAGGTGAGGAAGAAGGTGATGTGATTCACATTAGAAACAAAATATCTTCTTATTCATCGTTGGGCCTTGCTAAATAAAACCTTAGGAAAGTCCCTATTGTAAACACAGAAGGATAGTGATTTCTGGTTTAATAGAGTTTTCTGGCAATTAGAGTCCAAGAATGGTTTAAAAAAAAAAAAAGGCAAATGCTTTTTTCTCTTAAAAAGTAATCCAACAGATCCAAACAATTAAATTGGAAAAACTGAAAATATATCATGAAACACATTATGAAAAGCATACACACTGATTTACTAAAATATATTATGAATTTCAAATACAGTTCTGTAGACTTTTAACAGGTAACACATTTTTTCTCTACATGTTTCTCTGTGTTTCTGAAAGGACACTGCACTACCTTTTGATTTTACTCCAATCTTATTTTATTGAGTTGCTATTTTCTGGGGGTTTATAAAAGGGCTTCAAAAGGATCCTTCTTTAAGAAAGACACGTCATAAAATACACAGCTTTAATAGTGTGTCATTTTTACCCTTGTCCTTGGAAATACTAGTATTCAATTACAACTTCCAATTCCATGTTTAAAGAGCACTGAGTCTTTTTGTTGTAGCCTTCAAGAAGCAAACTAGTCACAGAGAGAATGCAGAGTTAATCCACTACAGCAATAGAGAGAGGGGATTATACATTAATCCCGTTTGGGAGAGCCTCATGATTTTAGGGATCTCATATTGAGATATTTACGTAATGCACAATCACAAACCAGTAGACCTTCCATATGGAATATGTGGATATTTGAAAGCCTCCATACCTTTAAAAAAAAAAAAAAAGGATACAATGGGGCAGCATCTCTGGATGCAAGAACAATGGTGATCCAGCAGGTTCTATTCTAGAAGATATATTGGTAAAAATTTAACCTTTAACTTTGATTACTGTAGTGAGACAGGGGACATGAATGTAGGTATATTCAATCCAATCACTACTATAGCAATAAAAGGATAAAATATAATGTTATCAAAATATAATGTAGATGTATTCAATCCAATCAATGCTATAGCAATAAAAAAATAAAATACAAAGCATATACTGACAAATAATAAAGTATGGTTAAACAAATGGATGGGACAAAACCTCCTCCCCGTATTGATGCCTATAATAGTTTAAAGCTACATCATTTAAAGTGGTAATTAAAGAAAAATAAAAATCATTTACATTTTTGAATTGGGAATATATTGTTTAAGAAATCTTGATCCATTATTATTTTTGAAAGAAGAATAGGAATATAACTTTTCATTTTAATGCTGATTTAAAATCTGAATTAAAACAAAGGTCAATTTCCAAGCATAACGCAAAGAATCTTTAAAAAATAAATTCTCTTTAGAACCATAGAGTCTTTAATCCATTGAGATGGTAAACCTAGAGTAGAAAATAACATATCTTTTATATTTGAGAAGGGAACTATTCATGAAATATATTTTTAAAATAGAATGTTAAAAAAACACTTATGGGTTTGGATGAATTTACTGAAAACAAAATTTTAAGCCTAGAAATCTTAATACATCAAATTTTTAATAGAACTTTATAGTTTACAAAATTATTTTACATTCAATTTATAGTTCAATATTCACAATTTTCAGCTATGAATGTGAGAATATCCTCTTGCCCCAAAACAACCAGAAACACATCTGTGATTTAAAAAATTGGGTTTGTTGCTCATTACAACAAGGGTGACATAGGAAATGATGTGACTTAGCAAGGGGTGTTGGAAGAACTTCCTACAGGATTTGGGCTTTGGTTAAATGATTTTGGGAAGGGTTTAAGGAAGGAAGCAAGACTTTATTCTGGATTGGACTCTGTCAGGAAGCAGGGATAATTCTGATTGGGTGTCTTAATAAATCTTATCTAAAGGGAGGGAGAACTAGATCAAAGCAGCTGCAATTGGCAAAGAAGTAGCAGTCACTCATATTATTAGCCAGATGAGGAGATGTTCAATATTTGGGTAGTATACAGAATGAACTTGTTTTTGTCTGGTTGTTTTTGCCTCACATCATCATCACCTGACATTGTCTGATGTTGGTGTTCTGTTAGGCTATGTCTAAAATGAGAACACCATGGTCTAGTTATGAGCACCAGGCCAATTCCCAACAATACCAAGGCCTCCATTTAAGGGCCAGGCCACTTTCCAGAGGTCAGGGGCTGCTTTCCTTCTTCTCAGACACCAGGAATTAATCATTTTGGGGGAGGGGGAGTTAATAGCATTCTAGCAATTAAAAGGCAATTTATTCTGACAGGTGTGAGGTGATACCTCATTGTCATTTTAATTTGCATCTCTCTAATGATTAGTGACTTTGAGCATTTTTTCATATGTCTGTTGGCCAACTACCATCAACAAACCATAAATGCTGGCAAGGATGTGGAGAAAAGGGAGCCCTAATACATTGCTGGTGGGAATGCAGAGGGTGCAGCCACTAAATAAATTCCTCAAAAAATTAAATATGGAACTGCCATTTGACCCAGTGACCTCACTTCTAGGAATATATCCTAAGAAACTCAACACTCTAATAAGAAAAAATATAAGCATCCCTATGTTCATAGCAATGCAATTTACAATAGTGAAGGTCTGGAAATAGCCCAAGTGCCCATCAGTAGATGAATGGATTAAAAAAACAACTGGGGGGGAGGGAAAGGAGGCAGGGAATGACGATGGCCACCAGAAGAAGGTAGGGAGGGAAAGTGTGTGAGAGAGTGAGGAAGTGATAGAGGAGTGTGTGGATGTGGGGTGTGTGTGTGTGTGTGTGTGTGTGTGTGTGAGAGAGAGAGAGAGAGAGAGAGAGAAAGAGAGAAAGCTAGGGACAGTTAGATCCTGAAGGTCTTCCAAGGGGCTGCCAAACCAGGCAGTCTTAGACAGTGAAACCTGGTGGCTACTGCAAAAACTCCAGGGAGGACACGGCTGACACAGAGACCATACCATCTTGAAAAACAGAACTGCTTGAGACTAGGATCCTAGTCTTGCCTCTACCCAATCTGGTCTCAGTTGCAAACAGGGACCCCACAGCCACTAAGATAAAAGAATTACAACCACAGCTGCACACCCATGGATACCAAGACCTCAGGCACCCCACCCACAGATTTCTGTGAGTCATAGAGCCAATCACCCTCCCTGCTGGCCTATGGCAGTGGAGTAGGAACTGCTAGACCCTCTCTGTGCAAACAGGCTTCCTGACCACATATTGGCAGCAGTGGCTCTACCTGAATTTGAACCTGGGTGCCTAGACATGGGAAGTTTGTTTCCCGCTA